CGTGCCCAACTGGACCGCGGGAGGCAAGAAGTTGAGGGCACGGAGGAGCAGCCAGCGGCTGCGCGCGGGGAAGAGAAAAGCACGACTTCCTCCCTTTTTTCTTCTGAGAGATCCGAGCCCACATACAAAAGGAAGTGCTGAAATCGCACGCCCTGTAGATAAAATAGAATTATTCTGTTGGCACCAAACCCCCGAGAAATGCCGCTCCCCCCCCTCCCGGGGGTCTGCGGTCAGCGAAGAGGCTGTGTCCGCGGGGAGAAGCTACCAGAAAAGGGCACAGCTCTCGCACTATCCTTGCAGCGCACCTCCGGACAACTCCTCTCAACAAGAGTTTCCACCAGGGAAGTCACGCTGGCGTAAACACACCAGTAAATATCTTCCTGCAGGCCACCGGTTAATTAAGGAGCTCTTTTCATAACAAGTTAACAAATAATGTGTGCGGTTACAACAAATTATGTTCTCGCTTTGCCGTGCATTCACTAATCATCGCTGTTGCGCTTTGCAAGCCAGGGCAGCGTTTCACAGAGTGCGAAGTTTGCAAGGAACGCTCTTACTGGAGATAAAGGGAGCCCCAGCTCAGGGCAGGTCCCGAAAGCAGCCGGGTGCCCCCGAACAAGGCTCCCCCAAAACCAACAGCTGAGGTGTTGAGAACATTCAGCAGATTTAGCGTAAATATTCAGGTTTGTGAAGTAGGGACCACTCGTGCTGTGCGCAGCGAGAGTGGGGGAGAGGCTCAGGGAACAGGCTGTAACGATTCACGTTGAGCAGCACCTCTGTCGCAGCAGACCTACTCTCACAGCGCGCGCTCAGGGCTGCGGGATGACGCAGGCAGCCACGGCCGCTTCCACTACAGAGCAGAAGTGAGACTTCCTCTGAAATTGGATCTCAAAGCCATCACTGCGCAACAAGAGGCAGCTCGGTGAGGAATACCAACAGCAACAACGGACCTGCTCACCAGAATCATCTGAAGGTGTCAAACTTTAACGCCGCAGATCCTTATACCAGGAAAGCGCAGGTGGAATTAAAAGGAAGAACAATTTTGCGCAGGCGCAGGGACCATCTGCGTGTTGTACCTATGCAGTACCTACCGCCACAACAGCCCCTGCTCCTGCCATGAGACTCCCAGGACCTCTGCAACGCGGGAGTGACAGAGAAACCCACAGGCTGAAAAAAAAACCCCCACCATCCAAGACCCATCTCAAGTGCAAAAGTTTTATTGACCGGCTATCCGGGGCTGCGCGATTGAGCCCGCTCGCAGAGATGTCTCCTCACAGAGCCTTCGGCGCGGTGTCCTCGGATCTGCTCTGTGAGCACTCGGCAAGCCGCCCGCTGCCCTAAGAAGCGGCTGCCCGGCAGAGGTAACCAGAAGATGCACCCAGCGCTGCTCTGGGCGAAGCTCCGGTTCCGTTTTCTGCCTTCCCCTGCCTCAGCCTGCAGACACCAACAGCTCACATCTGTCCTCTTGGAAGGCGCTGCCAGTGGATCTAGTCTAACGAGCCCACTTCTTCTGGTGCCTCATGCCAAGTCCAGCACCGAGAAGCCGTTCTGTAGATGAGTCACAAACCACACTGGAGACAGTCCCTTTGTGGCGTTATTCCACACCCCATCCCTCTTCTCCAGAGCTCTACCAGCTGCCAGAGGACAGATACTGCGGTCAAAGATCTCACGATGGAAAATTCTGTGAAGAGATTTTAAAAAGTAGAAGTACGGCTTTTTAAGGGGCCCGTTTTTGTTTAAGCACTGGACCCACATGTTGTGTCAGCACAATATGCAAAATGTTTTCTTCATGCGTTAACTGTCTGCTCCATCAATTAACCAAAAAATGATCTAACCAACCCTGACAGGTGCCAAGTACCACCTCTAGAGACTGGTTTTGGGGAGAGGGCTGTACAGCAGAGCACACAGTGCTAAAAGCAGCAGCGGGCATATTATTGTTATTACTTCGCTGCCTCAAACCTCCAGTTTTGAGATCCCACTGCACTACAGTGTGGAAGCGGAAGGGAAAGCCAGCGTGCAGCTCAAAGATGGCCCTGCTGAAGACAAAGGCTGGCACCTGGCAGAGCGCTGGGTTTTGGAACAAAGGAGCTCCTTTGTACCGGCACGGTTCTGGTCTGCAGTTTCACAGGGTGCCTGATGGTATTTCACAGTCAGTTTAGAGCTTCACCCCTGGAACGCTCACACCATGCCAAGTAAACAGCAGCTCTGTGAATTCCTGGCAGCGTTTGCTGCGCCAGTTCAATTAACCTACCGTTTGTTTCCTGTGGATATTCACGATATGAATGTCTTCGCTGCGATACTCCTCATCGTGCTTATCCAGGGGAATTTTTTCCAGCTCAAAGTCCATCTGAAGCAGCTGGTTATCAGAGAAAACACGAGACAACTCAAATAACGCTGTCTGCCCTTTTGAACTAAGCACGTTCAGTTAGAAAGGTCCCACGATATACGCACACAAGGGCAAGGAGCCTTAGGAGGCTGGAGTCACCACGCTCAGACCGTTCCACTAAAGGCCTCTGCAAACGTGCAAGCTATTTTTCCCCTCGTGCAGCACATCTACCCTCGTTCTAACTACTCCTGTGCCAATGCAAAGCTACAGACATCTTGCAACGTTTAAGAAAAATCTAAAAGCTTGCGATAAAACATTTTGCTTCCTCCAATCTCCAAAGAGCTAAGCCAAACCACAGCACCTGCCCCTGTCTGCCAACCTTCTCAACTGGAGGGGAGGGGCGGAAAAAAAAAAGGCTAAAACCACCCAGCATCGACTCTGCAATGCGCTCAGAAGATTAACTCGGCTGCACCCTGGCAAGCTAAGGGAGGAAATAAATTACAAGAAAGCAGAAATCATCCAGAAACACCTACACCTATTGTGTTTATTGTGGGAGCGGCACCTCATCAGAGCTGATCTCAATTATAGCAACCCTCCTCGCAGCCAGGTCCCCGCAAGAGTTCGAGGCATGGCTAATTATCAAAGAGCTGCTTTTATTAACACGTACAAATCGCCCTGAAATTCTTGCCCTTCCCCTTTTTTGTAGTATTATTATTACGTATAACCCAGTACTCCTGCACAAGGGCTGCTTTTCAGCAGAGTTCACAGGCACAGAGTTAAACCCTGCACTGACCGTCATCCCCACAACCTCAGGAGGGATTCAGCTGTTACCTGTGTTCCTTTTCTTTACTTGCACAGAAGATACGGCCGGACTATTTAATTGTATCACCTATTAATGGAGGGGGGAAATTTTTGCAGAAGCACCTGTATCACTTAGCAGAAAGTCCTGCGTTCCTGAGCTACTCTGGAAAACTTTACCTGTATTTTCCCTCTGCTTTTAACGGAACATGCTAAAAGAAAATAAATTTTCACCAGACTGTTTTTAATCCTCCCAATAGCCTCTGGTAACATCACGACAACCACTGCAGAAAGAAGGCAGCAACCGACTGCTAATTCAACTTGCTCCTACAAAAATGATTGTTTTGATTTTGACAGATATTGCCTCACATGTGGTGGCCCTTTTGCAAATCTGGAAGGTATCACAAGCTAGAGAGGCTTTTAACAACCTATGCAAGTCTGGCTGCCTGGATCAAAAGCATCGATACGGTTAAGATCAGTAAGGCAAGAAAGGTTAGTTCGACCTTTTGAGGGAAGGAAAGCTCAGTAAGTATCCAGAAAGTCTCTACTGGTAAGTTGGACAATAACTTCAAGAGTCACCATCCGAATTTTCAGCCCCATCTAAAGAGAAGCGTGCTTCTCCTGCTACAAACGCTACTTCGTGCAGTCAACCTGAATTTGTACGTGTAGCAACTGCCACAGATGTTCAGCTGTTCCAATACAAAGACCTCCTGTACCCAACCTATTTTCTTAGTGTTCAAAAAGCACACTACAAACACTTACCTCAAAGTACTTTCTCTCAATTTCAGGATTCTTCCCCATAGTCCTCTGTTCGTAACAGCACAAGACGCACGTATCAGGGCCAGTAAGGTCTTTCAGTGTCTTCAGTAACGGTTCTAATGACTGCCCAAAAGAGGTTAAGTATTTCCCACTTCGATTTCAAGTTCATTTTACTGGTACGATACCCTCTAACTAGAGAAAGTCTTCACCCAAGAGAGAACTTTCCAGTTTTGCTTTTCAGGGAGTTATTTTTAGTACTTTAACTGGGACAAAAAGAACATGGGGGCAAGCTGGAAAGCAGAGGAGAAAGGGAGACTGCATAGGAGAAGAGTTTCACAGACTGACCAAGAAAACTGAACTAGCATCAAAGCCAAAAGCATTCCACACTGCTGAGTGGGCATTTCCTTGAGGCACACAACAATGACTGTTTCTTGACATGTTTCAAAAGTGAGAGTTTTCTCAGCCGCTGTTGGAACGTGGCTCACGTCCAGACCACTACGGATGGAAACAGGACCAACATGCAGGGAGCCAACGCAAGGGGCTGGTGGGACCACTGAAAGGGCACTGGGACATGGGGTTCTTCAGGTCATTTCCCTTTTCTTCCAACTTCTGTTAGCTCTGTGAGCACATCCTACAGAGCTCCAACTGAGCAGACTATAACAACCACTTAGCTGGAGCACGATTTCTCCTTTTGCCTTCCCAAGGGAAGCGTGAGGAGAACCCAAACAGTGCAGATGTGGCACTATTAAATTTCATTTACCAATGCATTCAACAGTTCACAACTATCAGTCACAATGTTTTGCTCCACACTTCATTCCCAATGTAAAAAAAAAAAGGGGATGGGGGGAGGCACAAATATTAAGTTCAGTTGTTTTTTTTTTTTAAACATCAAAAAAGTCTCTGGTTGAATCTCATATGGCCTTGAATCTGTTAAAAATGCCTTTTCCCGTCTTGTTCTATGTATTCCTCTAAACCATGGGGACCAAGATGCAAGCATAATATTTATTTGAACACTTCTCACACTGAACCCACACCCTTCCCAAGGAAACTTCCTACAGTTTTGCAAAATCCTCATTTACCTCCTCATAGTAAATGCAATCAGCCATTAGTATATAATCGGGGGGAGGCTGAAATTCTGTTACATCTTCACCCCTGAAAAGAAGCAAAAAAAAAAAAAAGGTGAAAACAAGCTTCAGTAATAACACAACACATACTACTACAGGACTAAGCATAAAGTTAACTACTCTGTTTTTATATTGAAAACAGCACTGTTTTCAAGTATTTTTGGCAGTTTCACAAAGCAAGAAGCCCCGTTAAAGCCGAACAGAAACATTAAAGGATCATACAAACCATTTCAGTACCTTGGCTCGGACTGACCCTGTGACCAGATGCCTGTTGTTCTCTATATTAACCATCAACAGCTCCTGCAGCTCCTCAAGGTCGGTGACCGTCACGTTTGCCCTGGAACACACAGGGGGTTAGGGCCGGGCCCGACCCGCCGGCGCCAGCCCCCG